ATCCTTACAAACAATGCACAATATGCTACAACATAATCAAAATACAAAACAATAATGTCAAAGTCCTTTTGACCTTTAGAATCATAGGTCTAACTTATTTGGGACCTTGATTGTCCTGCTTGACCTTCTCAGTGGCTTTTGATTTGGTGACTCAATATTCTGACCAACTGGCTTCTCTATCTCAGGAGGTCTAGGATTTAAATCATTAACTCCAGAATTTACATTTTCTGACTCCAGACAACTTGGTTCACTCATATCAACAGAACTTGGTTGTGGAACAAACTGAGTTGGTGTGAACTGTTCAGATTTGGTGGGATTGATAGATTCACACTTATTATCTGCCAAGTTATTTTTAACTTTATAAGGCACAGGTCCTGTACATTGAACAATTTGACCTGGTATCCATTTTTCCTTTCTCCCATAATTTCTTAGATACACATTCTTATTAACACCAAATTTTCTTTCAATGAATGTCTTGTCATGATTTAATGGAACTATTTTTGAATTGGCATCTGGAAGTATTATGCTGTTATTCAGATCCTTAATTGACATAGATTTCTTTGATTGATCAATTTTCTCAGGTAATCTGATAGTGCTTTCCTGGTAACCAAAAATACTGTTTAAAAGTAATATCCTGGACAATATCACTTTGCAACTGTGATCCAGTATTTGAAGTGGGTGTATTAACTTGCAAAAATCTTTTTCTTCTTTTGATGTTACCCTTTTAGTTTCTGTAAGTGCTAATGATGTTAGCAAAGTTGTTTGATGATCACATTCCTTCTTACTAATGTATTCTCTTTAAAACATTTGAAATTGCCATATCACCATAATCATTTATTAAGTTACAAGTACTTTGTTTAGGCAACTCTGACTGATAATGGACTGCATCTTCTCCATCTTTTATATTATCTTCACAAAGGTTTTTATTTCTTATTTTATATGGCCTTAAGTCATCATTCACAGACTCTTCAGGCCAACCATTCATACAGTGCTCATATACTTTTATTAAGCACTCATCTTTTTGTGTTTCTCCTTTAATATCATTCACATTTATATTGGAGTTATCCATGATAGTGAAGAGAACAAATACATCTTCTGGTACATAGCTCAGGCTTTGGTTTTTTAAAGGTAATCTACTAAGACTATCTGCACTATTCTCAGATCCAGGTTTGTATTTCAATTCATAATTGTATGCAGTTAGTGTGATAGCCCATCTTTGAATTCTTGGTGAGGCATGCTCAGGTAGGGTTTTGTTTTCTCCAAATAAACCTAGCAATGGTTTATGATCTGTAAAGATGGTGAACTTCCTACCAAACAGAAACTTATGAAATTTCTTAACACCAAAAATGATGCCTAAGCCTTCCCTATCTAACTGAGAATAATTTTTCTCAGCCTGGTTCAAAGATCTACTGGCAAAAGCAATGGGTCTGTCACCCTTCTCATCCATGTGGGACAAGACTGCTCCTACACCATCTGGTGAAGCATCACATGTTAATATAAGTCTTTTCCCTGGGTCATAGTGAGTTAGTAAGGTGTCAGCAGACAAAGCCTCTTTTGCTGTATTAAAAGCAGTATCTTGTTGTTTACCCCAGTGCCAAGTTGCATTTTTCTGTAGCAGCTTGTACAGTGGTGATAGTTTACCAGACAGATTTCCTATGAACTTTGCATAGTAATTTATCAAGCCCAAAAAAGCTCTTAGTTGTTGGGTATTTTCAGGTTTGGGTGCTTCTTTAATGGCTTTTGTTTTCTCAGGTTGAGGTCTGATGCCTTGTTTGCTCAATATATAACCAAGAAAACTAATTTCTGTCAGCATGAATTGACATTTATCTTTGTTTATCTTTAAACCTTTTTCACCAACAATTTTCAATACTTTATCAAGTGTTTTAAGATGTTCAGTGTCATTCTTACCAGTTATGTACACATTGTCAAAGTACACACAAACATTTGGAATATCCTTAAAAATACTGTCCATGACAGCTTGGAAAATTCCAGGGCTAGATGATATGCCAAAACATAGTCTTTCATATTGGTAGAGTCCTTTATGTGTGTTTATTGTCGTATAGACTTTTGAATCTGGATGCAGTTCTAGTTGAGTGTAAGCATGACTAAAGTCTAATTCAGTGAATTTGTCTCCTCCTGCCAAATTCAAAGAAATTTCCTCAATGTTAGGTATAGGGTACCTATCTAGCTCTATTTGCTTATTCAGTGTAGTTTTATAATCTCCACAAATTCTTATAGAACCATCCTTCTTTAACACTGGCACAATGGGTGTCGCCCAATCGGAATAGTCTACCTTCTTTATAATGCCATTAGATTCCAATCTACTTAGCTCATTTTCAATTTTATTCCTCATTGCATAAGGTGGAACTCTAGCTTTGCAGTATCTTGGATTTGTATCTTTAATGCTTAACTTCACTGTTCTATCATTTAGTAAACCTGAATTACCAAAAACACATTTATTTTCAGATATTACTTTATCTAGTGAAGTAAGACTAGATTCTTTTACATTCTTCAATGAACAAATACTCTCCCAATTTAACTTAAGATCACTTAACCAGTTCCTACCTAGTAATGGCGGTCCATTTCCTTCAACCACAAGAAGAGGAAGTTTAACACTTTGACCATTATAACTTACATGAACCATACACTCTCCTATTACCGGAACATTGTCACCAGTGTATGTTGTTAGACACCTGTGACACGGCTGTAGAGGCACTGATCCTCCTGTGACAGCGTCAAACTCTTTCTTTGTTATGACTGTTAGAGATGCTCCAGTGTCAAGTTGGAAGCTGATGCTCTTACCGTTGATATTAACTTGTACATTGATGGGAGCATGACTCATTGATTTCACAGAGAACAGGCTGAAATCCGGCTGCGAATCAGTTTGAGAATTTTCACAGGTAGAGTGGTTCATTGGTTGGGTTAGGTAGTCTTGGTGAGAGTTAACATAGTGCTGCTTTTGGTTGCGGTACTGTCTTGACTGGCTAGATTTAGCAACAGACGAAGACTTTGCAAAGCAGGCCTTGGCAATGTGACCTTGCTTACCGCACTTATAACAAGTTGCTAACTTGAACTTGCACCGATGAGATGCATGGGGACCCTTGCATCGATGACATTTTTGATAATTATTACTAGATTTAGATCTAGGATTTGAACGAGCAGGGTGTTTAGCATAAGTTGGAATGCTCTGTTGGGGTTGATGTTTATTGACTAACCTGCTGTTTACTGCATGGATCCCTGAAGGCGTAAGAGATTTCGCCGCATCTGATGACTGCTGGTATGAATTTGCAAGTTGTATTGCTTTTTCCAATTTTAGATCTGACTCGAGCAGCAACTTTCTTTGAATATCAGGGCTGTTTACACCTGTCACAAACTTTTCACATAGTCTGTCAGACAGCGTATCGCCGAATTCACAAAATCTACTTAAATGACGTAAAGCAGCAACATATTCTGATATTGACTCGTTTGGTTGACGAGTCCTACTGTCAAATCTAGCTCGACATAAAAACTTTGATGGGGTAGGCGCATGGTGGTCTGTTAGCAATTTGCTCAGCTCGTTAAAGCTCTTGGTAGTTAGACTAGCTGGTGTGCATAAGTCTTTTAGTAGCCTAAATTGTTGAGGCCCTATGACTGTTAACAAAACAGCTCTCTTTTTGGCTTCCATCGTCACGTTGTTTGCTTCTAGGTAAAAGCTTAACCTCTCTAGGTAATCTTGAATGATTTCATCATTCACATCAAATTCTTTTATTTGGCCATACAGCGCCATAATTCTAGAAATAATTAGCTAATAAGCTCTAGCAAACCTCTTTTTTGCGTAAGTAGGTGCTCTTTCTAGTAGATGTTTATCCTTCGTCGCCAGTTATAATAGATTGACGACAGAAGCCTGTGGTTGTATATAACACATTTAATGGGTCTAACTACCACGATGGTAATACACCAAGAGGACGGGAGGAAGTACACAAGGGACATCACTCAAGATAACAATATTATAAATATAACTAATACAGAAGAGTGAGTTCCCTTGACCTCACAATTATTTCAATCTATTACAGACGTCACGCTTTTTTTTACGATTTTTACCTCCCCCCCCCCCTCCCCTCCGTCACACTTCGTCACAAAAAGCCAGACCCCCCCCCCTAAAATGACGTCACACCTCAACCTACAACCCCCCTCAAAATTGCAGTTGAATTTTTTTAAAACATTGACATTTTTCCAAAATCTTGTCTAAACTATTACAATTTATTAAAACAGTTATCTAAAACGCGAAATAACGTCTAAAATTCGTTTTCTAACATTGCTTTTTTATAATGCAAAAATGTGACGTCGCAACATCTGACCCCCCCTCCCCCTCATCACACATCGTCACAAAATTGCGGACCCCCCTCCCCCCTACGAGTGTGACGTCATTTATGGATGACCCCTTTGCCTTCTTGCATTTGACAATTGAAGTTGATTATATAAATCAGGCTTTCTCGTTTGAGTCGTTTACTTCTAGTTATGGACATTTTATAAAAGGGAAGCTAGCACCTTTTTTTGTTATAATTTGTAGGTGCTTCTTAATTCCCTTTATTTTATCATGTATGCTCCGATATTTTTGTTTGCTACAGGCCATTGGCCTAATTAATATACATAAATAAAAAGCCATACTTATATGTTTGGGTTGGTAATTTGATGTTTTTATTTTGTTTTTATATAATCGTTTGCACACAAAAAATACTAATTACAAAAAATACCATTATTAGGCCCTATTCTGATTCATGATAAACATTTAAATATTATAGATTAAATTCAGACATGTAATATCTACGACGTGTAGCTTTATTTATGACGATTTAGGCCTAATTGTTTAAAATATAATTACTTTCTTAGTTTAACAATGGGCCAATGGGTAGTAGTAGATCCTAAAATCTACCTTATTTTGTTATTGTTTTGTTAGATTTTAACTGCTCCAAAAATGTGTGAGGTTTTTATTCCTATTTTTATAAGATCTAAGCCGGAAATGAAAATCCTATTATTAATTTACTAAAATAAACAGCTGGCTAATGTAAACGTTATAAAATAAACTAATTAAATTATCATGGCTAGTTTTCCGATGCGATTGCCGTTTGAAAATAAACAGAATAAAAAGTAAGTTTAAAAATATATATTTTAGTTCTAGATTCTAGATCTAGATTAATTGTCTAGTCTAAAAAGAAGCAATATTGAAAATTGAAGACCTTGGCTTGGCACCTTCTCAAATTTCTTTTTTTTTTAACAAACAACTGAACTGCAGTACTCAGCAGCACCCACTGACTCAGTATTTCACTTAGCTTTACTCTCACCTCCCTTTTTAATTTCAATATCTATCTAGATCTTATAGACATCCCAATCTTGTAAATTATGAACTTAAAAATTTGTTTATTTACTAGGCTAAACTCCTAAACTAAAGACCTAGAAAATCCTAGATCCTGGTATAACTCCATTTTAGCGTATTTTAATTATTCCCCGCTTCACATTCACCTCCAGTTGAGCATATTTTATGGTAATCTATCGTTTTAGCGTAATCAATTCGGCTGCAGTAGTAATGTGCGGGAGAGGTAACTTATGAATATATTTGTTTAAATAAGTATATTTAAGTCAAATTTTACAAAATATAACAGATACTTCATTAAAAATAACAATCAGTGACCAAAACAATTTAAAATATCATGGAACTAACTTTAAACTAGGTGTTTGAGATAAATATTAGTAGATAAAAACAGCGGCCATCTTTCCAAATAAAATTTAGAGTAGTTTCCCTTGATACAAATGTCTATTCGTATGTATATTGTGTTGACTTTGTTGTTTAATACACATAGTTGTCTTGTTTAATATAAGTAGGACAGAGGGCCATCTTCTTATCTTTAATTTCAATTGAAATGAAGGCTATGTATGTATGTACATCCAAGATCTCAAAAACTTTTGGGAGGTCCATCATTTATTAAACCCTTTTGTACTGATGAACTTGTCAATTATTAGATCGTCCATATTCTTCATAAATGACGTTGGACTCAAAATATGGGAGGGGGTAAAATAATTCTTTTTAAAATGATGAAGAATATATTCGTTTTCGTTAGAAATTGTGATTACGCGTTCGGGTATAGTAGAACTGCGATATGATATTAAATCATCATCTTGCTTTTAGTGACGATTGGGGGAAAGGGAATTCATCGGGAAAAGTATGACGTCATTTATGGACAGGACCGGCGCTACCTATAAGGCGAACTAGGTTGTCGCCTAGGGCGCTGTCCGTAGGCGGGGGGGGGGGGGGGGGGACGGGCGCCAAAATGGGTTGGAAAACAAATTAAAAGTTTGAGGGGGGGGGGGTGCAAATCAAAAGCTTGTCCCCGGGCGCCGGGAAGGGTCACTACGCCTCTGGTAATACGGGGGCATGAAAAAAATTGCAGATGGGGGGCGCTTTTATTAACTAAATAACCTGGCGCTGGCACTGTTTATGGGTGATCCATTTAAGCCTATTTGTTTATTTTGTCTGTAGACATTAGTCTTAGGCCTACACTTTTTCTGAATTAAGATTATTGTGTTTATAAAAATAGTTTTAAATTTTAATTAGTTACATCTGAATACCACATGGGTTTTTTTCTTTGCCTTCTGCTTTCATCAGTTTTTTTATTTGTTCAATAGTCGATGTTTACCCATCCCCACCATCCATTATTACAAAAACAAAAAACACCCAATATATAGTGATATCTCCCTATAGAAAAAAAAACCTAGATCAACCTATAGTTCGTAGGAAAATTAGAATCTATCAGTTATTCGTCTGTTAAAAAAAAAAGAAATACGTCATTTTTCTCAACCCCGCCGTTTCATCCCCCACTTAGCACAACGTCACCAAGTTCGCGGCGCGCGTGACGTCATTTGTCATTAGGCTAATGTTAAAGAAAGAGATACCACGTAATTAAAAAAAAAGTCAAAACAGGCACTATTGCGTTGAGACTTTAGCGACGTTTAGTCTGACGAATAGATCTAAATGACTTTAGTACGGTATATTATATTGGTGTTTAATTTATTACAGTGGCATGCTGTGCTCCCTCTAATACACAAATTCACGTGCTTTTAATTTCTGCAACATGCTGCCCTGAGACGTTCGGCTCTAAAATGCCCGTGACACAGCGGCTTCGGTAAATGCATTTAGGCTCCCGGTCCCACCTATACACTTCGTCTGCCCATTAAGCTCCACGCAAAACTTGTGATTGATATGTGGACATAAGCGGCGCTAGTGGTGGTGTCAACAGGGGCCAAGCTCAGCTCTTAAAGGTGCTCCGCACTTTATAAAAGACAAACTAGATGTTCAGACATCGTCAGACTCGGGCGTTTAGCCGACTGCCGTATTCCTAATGCACCGTCCATTGCTAACACTATTTCTATATTAAACTCAAGCCTATACTGAGCCCTGGCTTTTTACATTAGCTGCTGTCGTATTAAGGGCTGATCTTTTGTTATGCCCCCATGTCGCGAAACTTGCTGTTTTGTCCAATTTTACCTGCAAGCCAATAATTGTCTTGGATTCTTGTCGAATATGGTTGCCAGAAGCTAGTTGGTTTGAGCCTTATTGTCAGAAGTTATTTCATTCGGAGTCAATGTAGTGCGGCCTATTTTCGTCGGTAGGCATTTTTAGTGGCATGCCCTTTTTGGCGGGGATGGTGTGCTGAGGTTGTTTAACACCGCTTAGGCTTGCAATAGTTATCAAAGTTATGATCATTCGTTGTGAGCAAAGGTATTGTTACGAACCCAAGCGATCTTTACCTGGGTTTGGTCCCATCGAGGAGGGCCAGGTAATTAAAATGAAATGCTTAGGCATGTTAATGCACTGGCCAGCATAGGCCGTGAGAGACTGGGGGTCTTGATGGCCACCACGGATCCGATTCCACGCATGTGGGCGGGGCTTACCTGGTGTCTTGGGGTCCTAGCTATTAACGACGTGGCCAAGAACTCGTGATTTACGGCTGGGAAAACCTTCCAGATCGGACAGGGCCCAGTGGACGGTCATGTCCTGACCTGACCTAGGGTCAGGCTGTAATTAAAGTTGTTCCCACGGTGACGAACGGGGGGACGAGTACTTTAGGAGGGTAGACACAGACACTCGGGACGTCTCGGATAGCTAGGTTTAGGGGAGACAGACACGGGTCGTCTCTGTGAGCTAGTGGAAAGCCACGACATGTTTTAGACTTAGGCTAGGCTTGACAGTTAGGGACAAGTAGATTAGTCAAATTAAGGACTTTAGTTGTAGATAGTTGTGTATTTTTCCTATTGTGTTCCATGTGGTGGCGGGTTAATGTTAGATGTTGTATTTTGTGGCGAATAAATAGAGATTACTGAAGCTGGCATTTATTTATTTTTATTTTTCTTCTTCCTGTTTACGATCCCCTGACTAGTTCGAAAGGATTAGAGAAGGGGGTACGTAACAATATGCATGAAATCAAATGCTTTATGTTCCTCATTTTCATTGAGCACAGCTTTATAGAAGTCTTCCATAATTGACGTCACTCATCCCCCCCTCCCCCGATCACCCCTTCATTATAGGTCATAAATTGCAGTCCTACGTAAATTGACGTCACATTAGAATAGCATATGTGACATCGTTTATGGACAACCCCATATTTCTCATTTTGGATATTTGGTATCAACATTTTGACAACAAAGGTTGTTCAAAATGTGTATTGGAGGTTAGGACTTGACATCTACCATAAATGACATCACGCACTTAAGGGGTGGAGTAACTGGTTTTGAGACGACGTTTTACGCGGGAAAGGGGAGGGTTAAGAAACGTGAAACGTTATGTATTTGGCCTAATACAAAAATGCTGAAACAATTCTTTTTCGTTCGAATTATGGCTTGTCTTTTTAACAGTAATAACAGGCAGGGCAAAAAGGTAATTTTCGACATTACTACTAGAAAATCTATTTCGTGACGGCGAAAATGGGGGGGGGGGGGGGGGGGGGGGGAGGGGGTTAAGGTGAAGAGATGTCAAAAAACGTGACGTCATTTATGATTAAATCACTAATTAAAGGAAAAAAGCATGAAAATATGAAATGACAATAGCAAACAAACAATAACACAAACAATAACAATTAACTCAAACTAATATTTAAATAAACATTGGATATGTAGTGGTAGCTATATAAAAATAGGGAGTTTCTTAATGTATAAAAATTGCATCTCATAATCTATAATAATAATAATTCTAGAACTGATGTTTATAGTCAGTCAATCAAAGTTTAAATTGTTTAAAGGGCAGAATTTAAATAAAAAACGCATGCTTTGTATTTAAACACAAGACAAACGTATTTAATAGCAAACATCAATACATTTCCATACAAATAGAAATTAAAGGGAAATGACTCAAAATAATATTTTCTAAAGATGGCCGCTGTTTTTAATAGCAAATTTAGTATCTGGAATATCGTTGTTAAACCTTAATTTCATGACATTTTTATTGATTTAACCCTTAAATATGGTTTAATATTCAATTATCTTTAGTATTTTAGTAGAATATGCAAAAATATTTTCACATTTAAGCCATATTTATTAGTTACCTTATCCCTACATTACTAGTGACGACCGAATTGATTACGCTAAAACGATAGATTACCTATTTTATTATAAACACAACCCAAACTGCTATTTAATTTGAACTGTCCTAATGCCTAATTCTTTTTATGTGTTTTTATACCTTTTCTAATTAGGCCTAAAACTCACATTTATAAAAAAAATAAGGCAGCATTTGCGCGTTTTGCTCCGCGTTACGCGTAAGGCCGCCGTTGCGCAGTTCGCTCCGCGTTACGCTTAATCTTTACCCTAGGTGGCACGCGATCTAAAAAAACAGATATCATGACTGCCCGATTTTTTTTCGTGGTAACAATTTAATGTTGACATAGATCTAGATCGTGTTTAAGTGTATTTAGATCTCTATATTATTTCAACACCTAAGAATCTAGTACTTATTAAAAAAAACAGTACAGTGTATTGTCAAGGAAAGCTTGTGAGGTCAGATGGGTCAGATGATAGTCCTAGATCTAGCAGCAACCTAGCTAAATCAAACTGTCCTTTAACCTTTAGGCCTAGCGATCTAGCATGCAATCACGACAGTGACGATGTTTGGAAATTTTATTTAAAAAAAAAAGAATCATAGTCTACGTCATATTTTCAATATGAAAAGAAAAAAAAAACTAGTAACGGCCGAGCTAACCCCGGGTTCGAACTCTGGACTCCGGGGCTCTGAACTTCACACTACAGCTGGCACACAGTTGACTCAACCACAGCGGATGTGATAGAAAGTTAAAAGTAAGCTTTTTCAATTACAAGATGGCAAATCAAGCCTGCGAGACGCGTAGTATATTCTTTAGGGGCCACGCTTTGCGAGATGCGTAGTCACTTCAAAAAAATAATAATTAGATGATTAAGCTCTAATCTTGAGTCTTTTCCTAGCGTTTTTGTGTGTTTTGGTTGTGTTTATAATAAAATACACTCAACCGGAGGTGGACGTGAAGCTGCGAATAAAATACCCTAAAATGGAGTTTTACCCTAGAATGCCCTAGATCCTTCCTCTTAGTCTTAAAGTTTAAAGTCTTTTAAAGTTAAAGTAAATTGAAAGTCTTTGCTTTGAGTTTGACATAGGCCCTATTGAATATTTGAGTAATGAAGAGAAACCCTGAAACTTGACTAGTGACTAGAAATTAGAAATAGAAATTCTAGAATCAATATCTATTCCAGATCTAAATCAAGTAAATCTAAATAAAATTGATTTGTAATGATTTCAGACTCGATTTAGACCTCTAAAATCTATTTTAAATTTAGATTTAGATGCGTCAGAGTGGCCTAGCGGTAGAGAGCTGGACTGCTAACCTGTTAGTCTCGAGTTCAAATCTGTGTTCAAGGCAGTAGACCGTCCCTGAGTCCACCCAACTCTAATGGGTACCTAACTCACGTTAGGGAAAGTAAAGGCAGTTAGGCATAGTGCTGACCACATTATCCCTTCATATGCCGAGGTCACAGAAACAAGTGAACTCTACTTCACTTGCTGCCCTGTAGACCATCAGGTTTGAAATTGAAAGGGAACTTTACTCTACTTAACCAGTGAGAGGATTGGGCCAAGCCCTAGCTAGTTAGGCCTAGTGGCTAGTGTATCATAGTGGTTAGGCCTAGTCTTGAGAGGACCAGCCTAACCTTAAGGCCTTTGATCTTAATTCTGGGTGACTCTTGTCAATTTTTATCCATCCTGCAGCCATTGCTTCTTCTACTCTACACTCCTCCTCCAAGATTTTCTAGTTCTGTCCATTTTCATTTTTCCTTGCATGTTCTATTTTGTGTCTAAAATGTATAAATATGGAGTACTCGGGCTCCCAGTGTGAGCACTGTGGTGCCTACATTATTTTTATAAAGCACCCTACAAAATGGACACAGTGAGCCACTACATTCAATACTTAAACCAAACCAGGGAAAGTACCCGGTGCCCCTGTGGTCATGAGAGCTAACTGCGACGCCTCTGACACATGGGCAATTGCAGAGTTGTGTTTTACCTCATTATCATTAAAAGTGATCAATGTACACTCAAGGCATTCATATGACATGCCCATGGGCGTCTGGGTGGGAGTGTGGACAAACCAGTGCCCCAACATCTAAGATCTATTATAGCTCTAGAGCTTAAATAACTCAGTTTTAGGTAACAAGGTAACACATCTAACATAACACAATTTGTAATCAGGTAATGGAAATGAAACCATTATAGAATGGTTTGTTGTGCTGGTATGTAGAACCACATGTTAGTGACCAGTGATCGCCCTGCAGAAAATTAAGTCCTGCATCTAAAAATACATCATTGTTAACTTTTGAAAGTTATCATGAGTACCCTTAAATTTCTTTTCTCCTGAGATCACTGTATGGTGTGCGATGGGTATGCTAGCACGATACATTCATTTCAGCATTATTGTAATTATATTAATATATATTCTAATATTTTATTACTATTTTATTACTAATATTAGGGCTCTATGTAAATATATTAAATTTTGCATCTCATTGCATGTCAAGATTCCCCCCCCCCCCCCATAAGATTTTTATATGCAAAACATACTTTAAGCAGTGTCCGTTGCCCCCCCCCCCCCCCAAAAGTAAAGTATCAAGTGTCGTTTCCCCCTTCCCCCCACCCCCCCTTCTGGTGGAAAGTGTCTGGACGAAACCCTGAAGAAGAAGTACCATCATAAGAATAATATATTTAATCTCTGCTAAAAACTAATACGCCATTTAATCTTGGGTGTTTGCCGTGTTGACAAAAAAAAAATAAACAGAATATTTTTTGTCAACTAAAATAGCAAAATAGCACTATTTTTAAAAAAAATTCATAAAAAACGTTTTAATAACAAGCTTTTATGTAATGATGCACTAAAAAGTAGAAAATAAATTATAGACTACTATTTAAATAACTATAAAGAAAAGCGTGGGTCACTTTAGTATCTATTGGATACCTTTACTAATGTTAAGGAAGACACCCACGCTTTTCTTTATAGTTATTTAAATAGTAGTCTATAATTTATTTTCTACTTTTTAGTGCATCATTACATAAAAGCTTGTTATTAAAACGTTTTTTATGAATTTTTTTTTCAGTACTTTACATGTTTTATTTACAATAGAGTTACATGACTAAAAACCATTGCGCGCCTACTGAACATCACGTTCAGTAGGCGCGCAATGGTTTTTGAACGCAGCCATTACGTGATGGCGCAGCTATTGAAGGTGATGACGCGTGTGGTGTGGTTGGCTAGACATGCCTACTAATTCGGTCCAAATTTTTATTAATTCATAAAAAATTAATTAGGCATCCAATTAAGTCAAATTTAGTTTCAGATTGCATTGTCTTCATGTCTTGACCCACGTGCCAAATGTGAATCGTATCGGTCAAGTAGAACTGTCCGAATTTTCACTCCTGCGTTTCCGTCTGGACTGACGACAGAGGAAGTGAGTTAAATAAAAGCTTGTAAAAATGGTCTTAACCTAGTATTAAAAACACTTTATAGTTTTGAGGTAATACTTAACCATTTTTCGATCAGCGAGGAGACGCCGGGTAATTTATTGAGTTTAGGAACAGGTAATTAAGTATTGATTTTCTGATTTTAGGAAGGCTTCCACTGACTGACTGGGAGCCAGGGCTTAGTTTATTTTTCCTTCCCCCCTGTGTTTGTTTTTCCTCTTGCTGGGACTCTTAAGGGATATTTTAAAACACACTTCTATCTCTGGTGACAGCTGAGGTTGGAAGTTGATCTGCAGTGTTTTGGTCTTTATTGTTTTTCTCTACATATGTTTGTTACATAGTGTATATTGTTTTTTCTTGAGATGGATATAAAAATATGAACCATAAAAGAGTTTGTCTAGTTAATCTCCCTTCCTTCTTTGTTGATATTTTTTAAACTTTGATTTATTAAGTTCATGGTTAAAATTAAGTTTTAGATCTTTTTTTTGTTTTTTTTTACTTAATCAGCTTATTTTTTAACTATTACTTTCTAGATTAGAAATGTTCACGGCATACATTTATGAGATAAGATGAATGATAAATATATTGCTTTGCATTTTTAAGGTCCTAGTAATGTTGTTCTATTTAAAGATAAACATAATTTTCTTTTTAAAAAAATAATTTTGGAACTCGCTGTGCATAAAGATCTATGATGTTACCTGACCTGTGTTTAGTACATTTGTAATTCAGAAGTTCTCACTGTTGTTGATATCTGTATCCTAGCCTGGTGAAGCAAGAAGATTACAAATGCCAGAAGTGTCTACAGAAAGGTCACTTCACCTATCAGTGTACAGGCAAAAGGAAATATGTTGAGAGGGATTCAAGGACCCGCCTCATGCAAAAAAAGATAAAAATGGATGAGGAGAAGGCTAAACTTGAAACATTGTGAGTCTAATTTTTCTGTGCTGTTTTATTTTTTTTATTGCCAACAGCTAATGCCATGCTTTAATTCAATGAATGAATATTGAATGTTTTACTGTTGATTTAAAAGGTGTTGACAGCTGATGTTTTCAGTGAGTGAATATGTTATATGTTTTACTGTTGGTTTAAATGATACTAACAGCTTATGTTGTTTTTCAGTTTGTGAATATGTTGTTTTACTGTTAATGTGAATGATACTGGGTCCTGGGGAAAATGATTAGTAATTAGGCCTATATTTTAAAGTCTTAAAGGTCCCCTTTCAAACCTGAAGTAGAGTTCACTTGTTTCTGTGACCTTGGCATATGAAGAGATAGTGTGGTCAGCACTATGCCCAGCTGCCTTTACTTTCCCTAACGTGAGTTAAGTACCCATCAGAGTTGCGTGGACTCAAGGCCTATATAGTATTTTTTTATTAAGAGAAATTTTAAAATGATAATTGGATATACTTTCTACTTTATTATTGAATGGTGACATGTAACAATTTGTATAGCATTATTTACATAATATTGGAACGTGCATAGTGTATTTTTAAGTATTGTTTTACTTTAATTTTTACCAGAAGCAAAACTCAGGCTTTGTCTCAAAAGGGGCATCAGCATGTAAAAAAGAGAAAGAAAAGGCAAGTACATTTTATTTCTTGTCTTTAAAAGTCTATCTTCTACCCTGTGGTACTGTCATAGCTTGTTTTTTGTATATACAAGTCTAGTTTATTCTGTTGGAATTTCATACCTTTGAATTAAAAGAAAATTTAACTGATCAGTTATTTATATCAGAAATATTGAGCTAAGTGAATGAAATCAGCTAAGTTAGATAACCTGATGGTAGCTTAAAAATTGTTCAGGATTTTCATTGAATTATTTCCCTTGTTAGTAACACTACACTGCTTAGAAATAAATACTGGGTGCCATTCATTATTTGATAATAAACATTCAACTGGATGTGAAATTTATTTTAAAAAATTGTTTCCACAGTTCTGATGGAGATTCTGGGTCAACAGAAGATTCCAGTTCAGATTCCGAGCAGTCAGACTCATCCTCGTCATCATCATCATCGTCTTCTTCTTCCTCGTCGTCTTCATCATCCTCGTCAGATTCATCCTCCTCCAGTGACTCATCATCAGATTCCTCAGACAGTGAGACAGAAAAAAAACAAAAGAAAAAATAGGTGAAGCTTTAAAACTTTTGTTCATGATACAGTGACTGTTGATACAGTCATAGAGTTTTGTAAGAATGTCTGGTTGCTGGAGTTTGAATTCTTACAGTAAAACTTTTATCTCTGACTTATCCATCTTTTGGATGAAGATACTTTTAATTTTTTAGAAGATCATTAACAAATGGATTGCTGTGTTGATTATTAAGTTTTTTTTAATTGGATATCTCATCTTTTAAACTAAAGCTCATCGTTGTTCTACCTAGAAACTTTTACTTGGAGGTGGTTCTTTATATTTTTATTTTAAAATTATTTCTTCTGAATATGAATATCTTTTATCTATATTTTTAGTTAATTATGAAAAGCCTCAAAGGTTAAGGAACCAATATCATATGATTTTTAAATCAGTTGATGGCCTACATTTTTTAAAATTTTGTTTTATAAATATTAACAGTTAGTATACTGAGATATATCTTTGCTGAAAAAAGTGAAATGGAAGTTATTGTTATGAAACGATGACACAGCTAGTCACTGAGTTCTTGTTTTTGCTATGAGGTCAGGACTGGAGCTTAGATATTGTTGAATGTATGTACATGTATGTACAGAGATGTTCAATTCTAACCTGATGTTGTTTGTTGTATACATTGCCACTGTCGACAGTCACATTAAAGCACATTTTTTTATCAACATGGTGTTTATTTACAATCTTATTAAATTAACTAGGGTTGTTAATTGTGATTTGGGTTAGTTTTTGAGTGGCCACCATGTGTACTTTTAAATCAACCTCAATGCGTCCTTTTTTGTTGAACCTATGCTGTTGGTGGGACAGTGTGGTCACATGGTAGAGCACTTGACTGCAAGCCCAAAGGTCTCAAGTTTGGATCTCAGTTCGGACTTGTGACTGTAGGATGTCCCAATGTCCACCCAGCTCTAATGGGTACCTGACTAACATTAGGGAAAGTTAAATCGGCTGGGCATAGTCCTGACGACACTATCTCTTCATATGCCGAGGTCAAGAAACATGTGAAACTCTACTTTATCTGCACTATGGATCTATATGGTCTGAAAGGGGAACTTAGCTGTGCTGTTGTGATATCTTGTCTACTTGTCTACATCTCTACTTGTTAATGTATTTAATGTGTGTGTAGTCTGGGTTTGAACCCACTCCTTGTCATGAATAGCATTGTATTGTGATGGATTTGAAAAAATCTGGGGTTGGTTGTTGTTTTGTCTAAGGAGGCTAATGTGTGTTGAGAGGGGGAGAAGGGGTAGGGGTTTGATGTCGGGGAGGGGGGGTAATTGACTGGTCACAACAATTTGGTTACATTATGCATTGTTGCTATGGAAATGGATGAGTCCAGTTCTGTAGAAGATGTGTCCAGGGATAGAGACGGGGGACAGACTAGAATTTTCTGTATAAACATTGGCTGCCCAGTTGTAAGCGAGGGAAGGCTCTGGACACTTTCTATAAATTATGCTTGATATCATCTGCTCACATATGCTGTAGCCTGTCATGATGAGAATACGAGAACCTCTAATCTGTTTTATTTACTCTCTCCTGGTTTATTGGTCGCGGTGGGCGGGTCGGAGGGATTGCGTTTTACTGAAGGGGGGGGGGGGGGAGGGGGCTGTTGGATCCTGGTATGAGTGGAAGTTGGTGGGTTTTTATGCTGTTGGCCAAGTACTCAGAACTGGGTTTACGTAGTAGCTACTACTTTCGAAAAGGTGGGGCGTTGTTTCTTTCGGATATTTTCTCGGGGAGAGTATAGTATATATTATAGTATTAAAGTGTATACTTTCTCTACTTCGTCGTCCCGAAAACTCTCTCTCTCCCCCCCCCCCCCCCCCCACCGAAGAGATACCTGAAAGAATCTCAGAAGAGGAGGTATTTGATTTTCGTATAACTGGAAGTTGCCGGGATTTAAAAATTTTTTTTTACCATTACTGAGTGTATTGGGGGGGGGGCAGAGGCGTAGCGACCCCTCCCGGCGCCCGGGGACAAACTTTCGATTTGCACCCCACCCCCTCGAACTTTTCATTTGCACCCCCCCTCAAACTTTCGATTTGCACCCCCCCCCCCCTCAAACTTTCAATTTGGCGCCCCCCCCCCCTAAGGTCGGCGCCCGGGGGACATATGTCCCCCCGCCCCCCCTCGCTACGCCTCTGGGGGAGCTTTACATATGAACCTTAGCTATGGCAGACATGTATAGAAAAGGCATGTTGAGATTTGCCTAATCGCCTGGTTAGCTAATCTTAATCCGGTGACTCTGAAAACATTTTTTTTTTTTTTAAATCTAAACTCAGCCTCCTTGTTATAAAGTTTACCGAATCGCTTGAAAGTAAAATAAAAGGCAGCGCTTGCCAAAAAATCAAATGCATCAAGGGGAATAACCCGCGATCAATCGAGCCTGTCATAGTAAAAGAGCTTCAATTTATGGCAGCGATCTATGGGTTTCTCATGGCAACACACACGCGCTCCGAGGCTGCTAATTTTTCCTTAAGTTGGCTCACCTGTTCAATACAGCAATGAAAACTTTTACGCGGTCATTATATTCATAACTCACTAAGAATCTACATTGATTTGGTGTGACGCTCTTCGCCCCGCCACCTGTAAGATGGTGATGGTTTATAGCCCTCTATTCGCTATTTATAGCGCCCAGGCCACCCACGAGCTCTCCGGCCCACCCAAACGTTTCACTGTCATAATCTATTTTAAAGAAACTTACTTGCCACGAGAATTTTATGACGTCACTGTGGGCGACGCTTTTTTATTTTTAACTTCGGGAGGTGCTTTCGCGTGGCGGGGAAATAAAGTACATCTTGCCGGTGGATCGGGCAGGCCGCGTGGCAGGTGGAGTAGAGTTTGACTGTTTCTTGTGCCTTGGCGTGCGCATAGACGTCGTGGTCAGGGTTCCCCAAAAAAAAAAATGCGCAATCAGAAAAATGCGCAACGGAAAAATGCGCAAACAGAAACATGCGCAAACAGAAAAATGCGCAAATAAATTTAATTAATGCACTACAATTTTGTCATATTTTGTAGAAATATGTTTTATTTTTCTACAGTGTAAATGCTGTCACTCTTTGTTATTTTCTATAAATGCTCGATTTAAGAAAAAAAAAATGCCATTACACACTTTTTTTTTGTGCGTAGTTTTCCGTTGCGCATACTTCCGGTCACCCGTGGTCAGTAGGCCTATAATCATCCTCATCATTCCCGTGGACCCCTTGTGGAGCATTGGGGACGCAACCACACCTCTCTTTGCAATCGGTTCTGGGCGATTCCTGCAAGTTGGGTCCACGATATTCCGGCTGTTTCTGCTTCTCCTACAGCTGACCATTATTTTACATGTATGTATTCGGGACCCATCGAAGATGAGATCTCCTGCCGGCTCATACAAGTGGACCCCACAGGCCTAAGTTGAAGATTGAACATTGTACTTCCGGATGAGTAAATGAGTAATTTACTCTCTATCCGTTGATCACAGGACCAACCAAGCTGGTCGGAATCAGAGGCGTAGCGACCCTTTCCCGGCGCCCGGGGACAAACTTTTCGATTTGCACCCCCCCCCCCCCGTCAAACTTTCGATTTGCACCCCCCTCAACCTTTCAATTTATTTTTCCAACCCATTTTGGCGCCCCCTATGGTCGGCGCCCGGGGACATATGTCCCCGCCACCCCCCACCCCCCACCCCCCTCGCTACGCTACTGGACGGAATAACACAATATTTGACTTACGTTTTTCCGTACACCATAGATAGGTAGAGAATACACATTTACTTCCGGGAGTCGAACTCGAACCATTCGCTCATGACTGGGATGCTGAGTTGAGGGTTAATTCAGGCATTGTGTGGGTGGGGGGTGGAGCAATGTTAAGAATTTATATTTGCTACTTATATATATATATATTTGCTACATATATATATATATATATATATATATATATATATATATATATATATATATATATATATATATATATATATATATATATATATACTACTAAAAGTCAAGTTTGTTTACATGTTTGAATATTTATTTGTTTGTTTGTTTGCCTGATTGACTATTGCTCATGGTTGCACTCATCGTGGAAAGCTGTGAAATAGTATGTAGGTAGAGAAAAAATTTTGTTTTAAGACAGACTGTTAATCACAAATTTATTTAAAGACGTTAATTAATTTATTGATTTATTCATTGTTAAATTAACGGTATTTTTTTAAAAATGTTAATACTTTAAATAAACTTTGTGGGGATAGTGACGTCCCTTGATGTGTTTACTTTTTTGGTACAATAAAAATGGCGGACTCCATCATAGACTTTGTGGCCCATTCAAAAGTTTAACGCGTTACAAAGCTAATTTTCTGCCGGCTATAACTTAAACAATACGTCCGTTTGCTGTATTTATTACGTTCCAACACTTATATCAATTTTCAACTGTCTTTTTCATTTAGTTTTACGATAAATTTCTCTAGATCTAAAGATCAGCTGTCGAAGGAAAGTTATGAAGCTAGCCTAGATCTAGAGATCTATCTAGATCTAGCCTAGATGTAGGTCACTAGACTCAATGTAAATTCTAGATCTAGACTTAATGTAAATTCTACATCTAGAATCTATTTCAGGCCTTAATTATTTTATATAAATCTTTGTTTGGCTAATTTAAGATAAAATTTAATTTGAAAGTTACTACTACTTGACTTAGATCTAGATCTATGCGCGGAGACTCAAAAGTATAGTATAAAAATTCACTTGTGACGTCACGAGTAAATAGCTAAGTTTGTAGCGTAGTCCGCTCTCATGCGGGTGGTACAGGTTCTAGACCAATATGTCAATGAAATTTTTTTTTCAGTTTTTTTTTTTTTTTAGATGTGAATGATAAAGTTGCCTATCTGAACTTGGCAGGATACAGGGCAGGTGAAGTAGAGTTCATCTGTTTCTTTGTCCTAAGCATATGAAAGGATAGTGTGGTCAGAGACATGCTCGGCTGGAATAGTTTTTTTAAACGATAAAAACATGTTGTCTGAGACTTGGCGGGACACTGGGCAGGTGAAGTAGAGTTGAGTAGGTCACATGTGACGTCAGTATATGAAGGGATAGTCCGAAATCGGTGTTTTCGGTGTTTTTAAGAGATAAGAAACATATTTTTGAATGTGGGGTCTGTTTTTTATGACGATAAGTGACACTGCAGTAGCGTAGCGAGGAGGGGGGGGGGGGGGGAGGGGCGGGAGGGGAGGGGAAGGGGAGGCGGGGGGAGGTGGAGGGGGGAAGGGGGGGGGACATATGTTGGGGCGCCAAAATGGTTTGGAAAAATAAATTGAAAGGTTGAGGGGGGTTCAAATCGAAAGTTTGAGTGGGGGGGGGGGGGTGCACATCAAAAGTTTGAGGGGGGGGGGGTTGAAAATCGAAATCTTGGGGGGGGGGGGGGTTAAAACCGAAAAGTTTGTCCCCGGGCGCCGGGAAGGGTCGCTATGCCTCTGAGTGACA